TTGAACTGGGTAAGGCTTAATTTTTTTTATCACTGAACAGAAGAAGAAAGATTTGAACCTCTGTAGGATCACTTTGCAAATTTACCATTAGACCAAACATTTTTTTCAATCATTAAAAAGTCATTTATTATGTACCTAATGATAAAATCTAATGAAATAAGTACACAAAGTAGAAGACAGAACTTTGGACCTTGAGAAGTCTACTACCCATTTGAGGCAAAAGCCTTTAAATCTTTGAGAGCAGAAATCATGCCTGGTTTTATTAATTCAATAGCTATCATTGAGTGCCTAATTGTGCCAGGCTGGGTACTTCTTAGATATTATTTTCAGTACCCAGTGATAGGCACATAGTAGAGATTCAAAAAAGAACTTGCAGAACTTTTGGAGAACAAGTATAAGGCAGCACATAACTAAGCATGAAAATGTATCCTTATTCAGAGTTCAGGAGACATCAGAGAGGGTTGAGGCCAACTTCAGAAGACTTCTCCATTATCTACTTAGATTTGTGGAGTCCGAGGAAGAGGTCTGGGCTGAGCTGATGTTAATCTGGATTGCTCTAAATTGACTTTCTTTGGAAACATTAGCTGCATAGAGGGCAACAGTGCCAAGGAGAGCCCTGGATTGGGATGTAGATAGGAGAATTTTATTTCTAGCCAAGGAATACATGAAATAGGGTTGATAAAAATGATTCATGCTCACTATACACAAAACTTTCCTTTGGCCTTTTCCCTCTTATCCAAGCACCATATCCTGTTACCAAATAAGTTCCCCGGTGATCCCTCCAAAATTTTTGCTTTGTCCCAGGACATGACAGATTGAAAGAGGACATTGAAGGTTTTGGACTGAAAAAACTTGAGAGTTGTGATGCTCTTATCCAGTTTCTAGGGACCATCTCTTTTTACCTTAGGGGATTTCAGAACTTGTATCAGTTACAAAGGGCTGCAAAATTCAGTTATCCAGAGCTCACTGGAGGGCTCTGATCTAAGGTAGCCCTTCTTGACCTCCTAAACTAGAGTTAGCCTCCTGCCATATAGTCTTGCAGTGCCCTGTATTTCCTAATATTAACATGTCATGTTTTATTGTAATTGTTTAATCTCTTCCCTTAATTAAGGGAAATAAAAGCAGTTAAGCTCAGAAAAGGCAGGGAGTCCTTGTCTTTTTAACTGCTGCATCTTTGGTGCCTTGCATGATGCCTGGCACCTGGTAACCACACAATGAAATTATTAAATAAGGGAATGAAAGGGAAGAATGACATTGAGGTCATTGAGGTAGAGGGAACATGAGGAGCTAAGATAAAAGAGTGAGAAATTGTGTACTGTATGTGTATACAGGTAATTGTGTAGCTTTTAAGTAGTGAGTATGTAAGAGCAACAGTGGAAAAAGAGGGTGAGGTTATACTGTGACAGGTCTCAAGTGCAAGTTAGAGTTTGAACTTTATAAACTATGGGAAGCCAGTGAAGCTTGAAGCTAATGCAGTGAGATATATTACCAGCGTATTTGACAGAATCCATTCATAGCACTGGCAGCTTCCTTTGCACCTCCAAACACACTTCCTGCCAGAATATGCATAATAAGCTATGAAACATTTAAATGCTATATACCCAGTAAATTCAATGAGTATCTAATCTATAAGTTTCTGTGGGTAGGGTTGGGGTGGGGACCCCAAAAGGACTCAGTGTAACTGGGAAACTGACTTCAGCCAGGGACCCTTCATATAATAAACTGAGCAGCTGATACATGCTAGCAATTTTAAGTTTCTCTGACCTTGCCTGAGTCATTCAGGAAGTCACAAATGAGAGGTTTTTCACCCTATTTGCTGCCATCGAGGCCCAATGGGTTTGCCCTGTCCCATCCATCCTGGGCTAGTTTCTCTTGTACCCTCCTGAGGAGGCATCCTTTCCAATACTGTGTTTCTGATATTCCCTGCTGTTCCTTTCTATATCTTTGCTTTACTTCTTCCAGATGGATTTCTTGGACCACCTGCAAGAGCATCAGCAGTGAAGCCACTTTGCAGACCAAAGCAAAGCATCACATTCTTTGCCTAGAACTATTTTTATATTTCTTTGGGGACTTGCAAGGATTAAGCGATAGAGTCAGAAGATGAAGGAAAAAGTCTTCAGGGGTTAAGGACAGTTTATAAAAGTTGCTCCAAATCCTGGAATAATATGACATTTATTTCTCTCCTTTCACTCACTTTTTGTTTGCATTTGTTTTCCTCTTTCTTTCTCTCCTTCTGCTTTTCCACCCATTTCTCTCCTCTTCTTTGTAATATACCTCTCTCTCTTTCTATTTTCTCTTTCTCCAGTCCTTTTCCTTCTCCACCACTGTCCTTCCTGGTAATGGCTGTCTTTCATTCAGTTCTTAAAGGCTGAGCACTGTGCTAAGTGCTTTTTACCCATCATCTCATAATACTCCAAGAGCTAAATAATACTATCCCCATTTTACAAATGACGAAATTGAGAGATCCAGTAACTTCTCCAAGTTAAGCAGATAACAGTGTTTTGAACTCCACTTTGCTAACCACTGCCGCCTCCTCCCCCCACAAGCCATCTTCTCTTAACAGTTACATGGTGTCCTTTTCTCCATTTTCCAACTCACCCTTGTCTTTCACCTCTTTTTCTTCCTCCTCTCTCTTTATCCTCTCTCCTTCTCTTTTTCCCCTTCTCTCAGACACTCATCACATCCTGGTCCCTACACATGTGTGGCTGACCCTGAAAGTGCTGAACACTGTGCAAGTGCTCACAAGAGATGACAGACTAAACTCTTATCAGGCATTTTCCTTTTGAGTAAATGCTTTACATTTTTCTACATTGTCTTATCAAAACCAGAGGAAAAGCCTCAAGACCTGGTTGAGTCTTTGATATGTAGGGAAACAGAGATAAGGTCCTTCCTCTCACTCATAAATTCTCTCATTTCCAGAGACTCTGTACTCTCATGGTTGGAGAACATAGAGGGGTGAAGAGGGGCTGGTAGGACAAAGGCCAGGAGGCTGGTCTCTATCAAGGTATCAACTCAGGAGCCAAAGAAGCCTAGACCATAAAATATGGTACACCCACCCTCTCCTTTCTCACGTGTATAAAAATATTTCGATAAGAATCAGGGGGTATACAGAGTGAAAATGTGAAGGTCAAAGTTTGAACTTGACAGTCTCTAAGGTCCCATCAGAATCTGCAGTTTTATGATTCTAATAAGGGAATATTTATGTTTGGTTCCTAATTTTTTTTTTTTTTAGTTGTTCTGTTGATTAGAATTGGTTACAGGCTTAAGCCATGAGGCTATTTATTGCTCATTAAGAATTTTACAGGTAGGACACTCCAGAGTTTCAGAAGCCTCAGGGCACTAGCTGGCATTTCTGAGATTCTCTGGGAAGCCTGAGACATCTTGGCTCATACAACCCTGTCCACAGGCAGGAGGGAGTGGGGGTGGGAAGGACTTCAACTGAGCCTCCTTCTGTATACTAAGGGATGGAAAAGCATTTCCTAGAGCGCTCCCTCCACATTAGATTCCTCCGATACCTCACTGACCTGAACTAACTGACGTGAAAACTGCAAAGTGAAATCTGGCCTTTCACCCTGCTAAGGGGACCAAGGCCAGGAATAGGGGAGTCAGTTTACCACCAGGTAGGAAACACCAGTGTTTGACGTCCCCTCCTTAATTCACTCAACTGAGATTTACTAAGCACCAACTCTAGGCCAGGCTCTGAGTGGGTGCTTGGTAAAGTCAGTTTCTGGTCTCCATGACCCTTGGCTGGAAGAATACAGACAGGAAAAGGATTACAAAAAAACATGGCAAGTGCTAGGAGAAGAGTGAGTAAGGCACCACAGGAGCTGAAGAGGCTCAGTTTGAGAGAGCAGAGAGGGCTGGAAGAAGACATGACTGGGTTAATTTTGAAGGATAAATGTGATTCAGCTGGGTGTAAAGGGCCTGTAGGAGATGGTAGAGAGGACATCTGGGAATCTTCCAGATTTGGCATGGCTGGATAAAGGGAACTAAAGGCAGCAGGCGGATAATGAGGCTGAAGAAGCAGGCAAGGGCCTAATGAGGGAAGGTTTTGCATGAGACATAAAGGGTTGGGGCATTCTGGATGTGAGAGTGAGCAGGTCTGTGTGGGGTACCTCTGTATGTACGCAGAAGGACAAGCCAAGGTGTACACTGCAGTAGTACTGAGGTGCAGGAGATTCACATTGCCAACTGCTTACCAGTGGGAGGAACCTGAGCATTCATCTGCAATACCTTTAGTGAGAGTGACCGAAGACTTTTTGTTTGCTATGTCCCAATACAACTGGTCCATACTGGATGGCTCTGAGAGTTAGAAAATTCTTCTTGAGGGGCCAAATTTGTCACTCTTTACTCCTCCACCTGGTTCTGTCCTCTTAGAGCCATAACATTTTTGTATTTTGCCTAACATGCATTCAAATACATGGGACATTTGTGGTATGATTTTCAACACATCACATACTCTTTAAATTAATCCTTAAAATTCCCTGGTATAGCTATTCTGATCCCCATTTTACAGACAAGGAAATAGACTCAGTGAGTTTGTGCCCAGAATCACATTTGTAGATTTGCAGACTTCAATGCTGTGTTCTTTCCACAACTTCAGTGTTTCTCCAGGTGTGGTGCTTGACCGGCCTGCCTCGGAATCACCTGGGTTGTTTAGTTAAAATCCAGATTCCCAGGGAGTGGGCACCCCAGATCAACTGAAGTAGAATCTCTGGGAGTAAGAGCATAGAATCCATATTGTGACACACATGTCATTTCACTTCTAGATCCATTAAAGTGTGGGAACCATGTTCTAATCTCGCTAATAGAACTACTTTCAATCTTCTCTTTGTATTTTTGCTGAGGGCTGGGAAGAGGGTAAGAGAGTTTTTTAGGTGAATTTGACTTAGTTGCACTTTCTTAACGCATTGCTATTAATCAGTGGAATCCCAGAGCAGGACTAGATCTTCCAGACTCTCGCAGAAGTATCCCTCTCTTTTTCTCTTCCCTACTTGCAGGAGTCTTGGTGCCTGTTCTCTGCTGAGCCAAAATGGGAGACTGGAGTTTCCTGGGAGAGTTCCTGGAGGAAGTACACAAGCACTCTACCGTGATCGGCAAGGTCTGGCTTACCGTCCTCTTCATCTTCCGCATGCTGGTGCTGGGTGCAGCTGCCGAGTCTTCCTGGGGCGATGAGCAGGCTGACTTCCAGTGTGACACGATTCAGCCAGGCTGCGAGAACGTCTGTTATGACCAAGCCTTCCCCATCTCCCACATTCGCTATTGGGTGCTGCAGATCATCTTCGTCTCCACGCCATCGCTGGTGTACATGGGCCACGCTGTGCACCATGTGCGGATGGAAGAGAAGCGGAGATTACGGGAAGCTAACAGGGCCAAAGAAGTCCAGGGCGCTCGCTCTTACGGATACCCAGTGGGCGAGAAGACAGAGCTGTCCTGCTGGGAGGAAGTGAATGGTAAGATTGTCCTCCAGGGCACTCTGCTCAACACATATGTCTGCAGCATCCTGATCCGCACCACCATGGAAGTTACTTTCATTGTGGGCCAGTACCTCCTCTACGGGATCTTCCTGGACACCCTGCATGTCTGCCGCAGAAGTCCCTGCCCCCACCCTGTCAACTGTTATGTATCTCGGCCCACGGAGAAAAATGTCTTCATTGTTTTTATGATGGCTGTAGCCGGACTGTCCCTCTTCCTCAGTCTGGCTGAACTTTACCACCTGGGGTGGAAGAAGATCAGACAGCAATTTGCCAAGTCAAGGCAGGGCATGGCTGAGTGCCAGCTTCCTGGCCCCTCTGCTGGTGTAGTCCAGAGCTGTACACCTCCCCCTGACTTCAGTCAATGCCTGGACAATGGTCCTGGGGAGAAATTTTTCAATCCTTTCAGTAACAAGATGGCCTCCCAGCAAAACACAGATAACCTAGCCACTGAGCAGGTACAAGGCCAGGAGCAGATTTCTGGAGAAGGTTTCATTCACATCCACTATGCCCAGAAGCCTGAGGCAACCCATGGACTCTCCCCAGGTCACCACCTCCCCAAAGGCTACCAGAGAGACAAGCGCCGACTCAGCAAGGCCAGCAGCAAGGCCAGCAGCAAGGCCAGGTCAGATGACCTATCAGTGTGACCCTCCAGTGTGAGGGAACCAGGACCAGGTGGGAACAAAGAAAGCTCAGAAAGGGAAACTGTGTCCCTTCTGACCCCACCTCTTTCATCCTCATCACTGCTCTGCTCCTTTTGGGTCCTGGGTTTCAAAGGCATTGCTCATTTTTTACACAATGTATAACTAGGGTTCTGTGAGTCAGAAACATATGTACCCACTCAAGCTGCTGTCTCTTCCACATCCTCTACCAGTGCTTAGTGAAGACTTTCAGATTATTCATTGAGCAGGGTAGAGTAAGGGAGGGAACTATGGCAAAAGCTGGCCTGGGAAGGATAAGATAATTCTCTCTCTGCTAGCCACATACCAGATGGGTTCTCTGAGTCTATGGTTTCCTTGATCTGATTACCTCCCTCCTGCAAGGAAGACTCCAAAGTTCCTAGCCAATAAAGAGCATGAATCAAAGGATTTGCATTAGATGTGCTCTTGAATCTGTTGTCTCCATGGGCCAGACCTTGGAAGGGTGGTGAGGTTGACTTGGGCTGCTCTTGGCTGCTTTTTCCCAGTCTTACTTAAAAAGAGGTCTTTGGAACTTAACCAGCTGCTTCAACTTTACAAGTGCCTTAGTATATATGTCTGGCAAATGTCCCACCTTGATGATGTTGCAGCCTTTCCTTCTGCGAGGGTATACAAACCAGTCCAGGGAGTTGAAAGTTCCCCTAGGAAGCCACTGTGCACAGACTCCACTGGAATTCCTACCACCACCTGTCAACCTGTAGTTTTTACAGTTCAACCTGATGATAGAAACCATTCTTTCCCTTCCTCTCTTGGTTGTTTACCCAGTGCTCTCTTAAAGACCTTATTGACCAGGATACCCAAGAAGCTGTTGCTTTCTTTCAGATCCTGACCAGATCACCAGCCACAGAAGCCAGTGGAATTTCCCCAGGTCTTATTAAAATAAAGGGGACATTGCGCTTCTCAGATTTCCCTTAGGGGAAAAAATTGTATTGTGAAGATGAAAATTAAAAGAGGAGAGAAAATACTGGAAAATGATATTTCCCTCCTATTTATTTCCCTTGTTGACTGCCAACTTAGAGTACCAAGAGGTATGATGATGGCTATGGAAGCCCCCAGATTTCTCTCTCCTTGGAAGATTTACTGGGGGCATAGGCGTTTTGGGGAATCTACAGCTCTCTCAGCAGGGTTCTTGTTTAAGAGCACAGAGATTTCTGTGTCTCCCTGGTGCTCCTAATGAGACTGCCAGGTGGAGACTTCAGAAAAGCCCTTCTTTCCCCAGGGACTGACCTTGTTTCTCTAGTCAGTCCACACACAATGGGTTGCCATTTTGGATGAAGGTAAAGGATGCTCAGAATTAGGTACTGTGATACATGGGGAAATGGTTACTTTTAAAAATGTGTGTGTGTGTGTGTATGTGTGTGTACTCACTGAAAGGGTGGGTAAAAGAGAAAGGAGGTCTGAAATAAGTAAAAGAAACCTTAGAGAAACTTGAGTTTTTCTGCCCTCCCCTCCAGGTGACTTACAGAGGGACTGAGCCTCACTGTTTTCAGTTTCATCAGCTTAAATGGATAAGCATGAGAGGTTGGGACAGAGGAGAGTGGAGGCTCAGAAGGAGGCTGAGCGTTTAGCCCACCTTCCCATGTCCTGGTCCCTCTGCTAATATTTTGATTGTATTGGTGGGCAGAGTGAAGGATGAACATAGAAAGGTAGAAGGAACTGACTGGGATGCCGTCTAGGGAAGAATGATGTGTCATCCCAGATCCCTAGAGGGGATACCCTTTTATCTATTGTCTGGCATTGACATTAAGACTCTCCAAAACAAAACAAAACAAAACAAAAAAGACTCTCTCTTCCATCTCTGAAATCTGGTTTGTGAAATGAGTGTTCTTGAATTGGAAATGCCATGAGATCAGTTTTTGATGATGGGGCTTTCAGGAAGGAAAAAGGAAATATCATGTGTAGTTTTTTCTTAATAAAGTCTGGCCCTATCTTTACCTCTCCTTCTGTTTCTTCCATACTGTGACTACACAAGAAGGATAGCAGACTTGGTTGGGGAGGGAAGCAGATGGACCCTCTCATTAGTCAGTCAGTAAGGCAAAGAGCTTTAGAATCAGACATACAAGTGTTAAAATTCCAGATGCTGATTTACAGCTTGATTCCAGCAAGCTTTTTAATTTCTGAGCCTTGGTTTTCCCATCTATAAACTAAACTAGTAATATTACCTCATAAGTTTGTTAAATGAGAGATTATTTATAAAGAATTCAGCAGAGTGACTGGGAAATAAGTTTGTTATTAAATGGTCATTGTTGTTGTTGCTATTATTATCTTTAGTATTTTTGTTATTATGTTGAATATATAGTATTTGAAAATCTGGTATGTTGAGGAATGATTCCAGAACTTCTCTTTGTGGAGCTCACAATCTACCAAAGGTGATCATATTTACTCACATAAAGAAAACAATTAGAATAGAATTAAATGGGAATTCATTTACAATATTATTAATTCTAAGAACCATAAGGCCCCAAGAAATGACATATATGAAAAAACTACACAGAAGGGAAGAGATCTTACTTGGGCCTTAAAGAGTAGCTAAGGCTTTAGAGAAGTAGAGACCTTAAGGATGACTCTGTGAAAAATAGGTCTTGGTATTCCCATTTTACAGACATGTAAACTGAGGTTTAAGATTTGAGTAAAGTGGCTTTTCACAGACCTCTCTGATTGAGATTGTGTCTTTTTGAAAAGAAGAAATGATTCTTGGTCCAAACAAAAGGTGAAGGGACCACCCTGTCCTTAACCAATAAATGGGTGCCATTTTCTAGAGAAAGAAATAAAGGCTGGGAAAAACAAATAGAAGTGTTATCTGAACTGTCAATCAGCCTTGTTTATCAGGGCAGGAAAACTTTTTCAGAGAATTTGCAGAGAGATCATAGAACACATCTTGTGACACCTGTGTTGAGACTCAGGGGTGCATGTGGCATCCGTCCAAGTGTAAGGTGCTCGGCCCTGAGATGCCTGAGGAGTCCAACTGGAAAAAGCATCTGGGATCCATTTTTCCCCCTAGGAAAAAAAAGTACATCTCATGGTTTTATAAACACAGCTATCAACATTTAACAATTTATGTTACTCCCAAATTGCAAAAGCCAAAAGACTTGGTTTATAGTAAAAGTTCAGCCTCATCTATCTTCTCTCATTTTCTCCTCCTTTCCCTCTCTAAGGGTTCACCACCAAGGACAGTAAATTGGATAATAATATAGTGAACAAACTTTTAAGTTGTAGGCTCCTGCAGCCCCTTTTCCTTAATTTCCTTCCTCCAGTTCCAGATAAGACCAGAGTTTCTATACTGGTTTTTCATTCCTATGACTAATACATTGAAGTGGTTAAAATACTAATAACACATCTATAAAAAATCATAATATGAGTCTCAGATTTATTTCCAATAGCAAATGTTGGTAGAGAATAAAACAAAGGAGCAAAGGCACTAGGCACCTTGCAGTTGTCTTGAAGGATTGTTTTTGTGGATGTAGAGATGAAGAAAACAGTGAGGCTGGAGGGAGCTGCTAAAGACAAGTTGCCCACTTCCCAATCCTCAGTAGATTCTGGAAACTCTCATGGTTTGTCCACATATTGGTACTTAGCAATAGCAGAATTTACAAATAATATATAAATAGAAAAAGATCAGTAGTTTTTACTCTTGTCAGTCTCCTGATAGTCAACAGAAATGAGTATGGTCTATAGTTTTTATTATTGTTTCAATTGTAAAAGAGAAAACATTTCACTCAACAAGCATTTATTGAGCACTGCTTCAAGCTAGGCACTATATTAAGCTTTAAGAATACAATGATATAAAATGACATCATTCCTGCCTTCTGGAGCTTACAGTATTGTGGGGAAGACACACTAACCAAGTAAACAAGCAAAATAATTATACATTGTGGTCAGTGTCAAGAAGGATACAGGTGAGGGGGACAGGAAAGGTCAAAGAGGAAATTTCTTCAGACAGGGTGGGCAGAAAGTCCTTTCTGAGGAGGTAACATTGATGCTGAGGTCTGACAGCTGAGAAGAAACCAGGCACTGATGAGTAGAAGAACCCAGGTTGGGGAACCCAAATTCCTCCCAGAAAGCCACAGAATACAGTTGTCCCTGACCTCAGTCTGGTCCAACATTTTTGAAAGACACAAAATTCAAGCAGCTCCTAAAACAACACTGCTTGTCACCAACTGTTACAACATGGATACTTCTTTCAGCCAAAGCCTTAAGGGATAGGGAAATATTTTTACTCCAAGAAGCAAAAGGAGCATATAAAAAGTCTTAAGTTAAAGTAATTCACATTATATGTTAAAATTCTAAAGAGCCCTATTTAATGTTGTAACTTCTTTTCACTAGTGTGTATTCTTGTAACATGCCTGGAGCCTTCTAAACTAGGCCTTTTTCCTGGAGCTCAGGCTGACAGGCAGAAAACCATGTCCAAATGAGCTGGGAAAGAGCCAGCAGGGTGTTGTCGAGCAGACCCTTGGTGTCAAAGGAGCCAAAATAGCAAGAAGTGAAGAGCACAGAGAAAGGAAAAAGAAGGATAAGGGGAGCACATCATCAGGGAAGCTGGGCCACAGAAGCTGTGCAAGACACATGTAGGCAGGCACTGTCAGGGATATCTCTCAGCTGGAGATAGAGCCACAGCCCCTGATCTGTTTTTGGAGCAATACCTCCAGACTCAAAGGAGGGAGTCGGACATGGGTAAAGCAGAACTTCATTCTAGAGCAAGGTTACTAGGCAGGGCCCCAGAATGAAGTCTTAGACAGAGTGCAAGTTGGAGAATTCATTATCAGAATTACAGTGAGGTGCTGATGAATTATTGCTGGTAATATACAGGGTTAGGCACAAATAACACCCCCTTTTATTACATAAAAATCTTTTATTACAAAATCATGAGCATGCAATTCTGCAACATAACGATATCACACTCAAGCACACCATATGACATTTTAGGTGCAAAGTTCAAATTGCTGTTTATCTCATGCAAGACATTCACGTACCCTACCAACCTCACTCAATGATGTTACTTCTGCCAGACCCTGTATATGATGTTAATAGATGCCATCAAAGCTCTAAACCAAAGAAATGACCAATCGTGAGACTTCCAGGCACCTCCTCAAGCATGGTGGTGAGTGGGGAGATGACTTCTAGTGTGGAACCTAATACCACTATGAAATCACCACAGTTGGCACCTACGTCCTTCACCTACATGTAAGACCAGTACAATCCTGGGAGGCCAGGGCTTGGAAACAAGTCTTAAGTCCCCTCTGTCCCTTCAACCTGGCTAACTTGTCCATTATTCCGATTCAATGGGATGGGGCACATTTACTTTCTAACAAGGGCTTCCTCAAACAGAAACTGAAGGCGTTACCTGAACCTGGTCAGGAGAGCTTGTTGCCCTCAATGCTACAGCCTGTTTAACACTAAATACCCTCTGGCTGCTGTTCAACCAACAGCA